GGGGGGGGGGGGGCAGTTCTCTTCTCACTCCTGTGAACTTAACTTATATCATTACTTTGTTATGAAGGGAACATATTTCGCTTTAAAAGTATAATCTAAATTCTAAATAAGTATTTATTCCAGTGAACAGGCGCCTTCAATGTGGCTGCCGGTGTGAAAGGGCCTGGTCCCAGGTGTGTAGAGGTCTAGCGCAGTGGCTCTCAAAGTATGGCCCCAGACCAGCAGCTGCAGCATTTATCTGAGAACTTGTTCATCAGAAACTTTTAGGGGGGGACCCAGTCATCTTTGTTTCAATAAGCCCTCCAGATGATTCTGACGCACCCTAAAGTTAAGGACTGCTGGTCTATGGCAGAGTTCAGAGTATGAGCAGTTTGACGGAAGACCTTGGTTTTAGTCCTGGCTTTCCTCACCAGCTCTGGCTGGTCCTGGGACTGGTGCTAGAATTCCCAGTCTATCCCCTTCTTGGGTGTTTCAGTACCGGAGTCTTCCAGCAGGTGGCACAAAGGGAAACAGATGTAGATCTATGACAGGTTTTTCTCAAAGTGGGGTTTCTTGACCCTCCACAAGGAGCTTGTTCCTAACTCCAGATCATATCTGCATGTTTGACAAGCTCCCACAATGATTCATAAGTACAGGAAATCTGAGGACAGCCCCAGGGGTACAGTGCATGCACCAGGTCCAATCCTGGGGTCCCACATTAGCTTTTCCTTGTGGTCCTTGAGCTGTGGGGCACGTTCATGCTCTGCTAAGCCCACATTCTAGTCCCCTTGATCGTCTCAGGTCTGCATAAACTTGTTCAGATGGCTCCAGTTATGTAGCCTTTACATTTTTGACTGATGGGGGGTAGGAACATGAGGAAGGTAAGATAGTGATTGGCTTAATTGTAGGGTCCTAAACCCAAAGTCCGGAAGAGTAGATTCAGATCCTGAGCCTATGACTTAGGAGCTCAGTAACCCCGAATCTGTTTTCAGATACCCACTGTGAAGGGCACAGACTAGTGACTCTGAAGGCCCTTCCAGCTATAAGTGTCAGTGCTTTTCCAGAAAGGGCAGGCAGGTGGCCACAGCAAGGGGAGCCTGTGGCTTGTTTGCATCAGGGAGATAAAATGGCAGTGAGGCAGGTGTGGCAGCTTCCAGGAGGCACAACCTGAATGAACACTGGTGGCAAAAATTTATAGGAATAGTGGGCATGAAAGGTATTACTTAGGCTTATGCCTACGCCGGAGGGTTATAGCTCAGGTGTAGAGTATTTGACTTCAGATCAAGAGGTTCCCGGTTCAAGTCCAGACGCCCCCTACCTGCTCTCACTTTTGCTTCCTGGGGCTGATGTTGAAGATTTAGCTTCTTTCCCTAATCCTGAGCCTTAGNGCCCCCTACCTGCTCTCACTTTTGCTTACTGGGGCTGATGTTGAAGATTTAGCTTCTTTCCCTAATCCTGAGCCTTAGGATACCGAGTCCTCCAAAATCTGGAAAAAAGTCAGGAGTAACTTAAAACCTTGTCACTAAGCACCACGGTCCAAGAGCGATAGGTTGCTCCAACTCTGACTTTTTAATTTCACTTACCACAGGTCTTGTTCTACATAGGCTGATTTAAGTTCACTTTTTTTATAGATATATATGTTTTATTTTTCAAGATTAAAATGAAGTTTATTATTTTTTAATTTTAAAAATAATAAAACTTTGTGAAACAGCTATTTTATCCCCCATTTCTCCATGTTTTCATTGCCCCAAACCAGTGGTGTGCTGGTGAATGTTTTAACCACCAGCTCTTGGGGGG